TAAACATAAGTTAGCTACAGTAGTAACTTGTTTTCTTCACTAAAATGGAAGGACAGACTCAATGGTAGTGTAAAAGTAAGCTAAAAATAGAGAAAAATGAATAACTGCTGAGGAACTTAAGGTTGCCTACTTAAAATTAATGGCACTTAGCTCTTTACATGCCTTCTGAACAGTGAGAAAAATTTTCAGATCCATATTTGATAGGTGGAATTGCCAAGCAACAGTAGCAGAGCCTGGCTTAGTATTCAAATTTGAACTTAAGGGTGATTTGTGATATAGAAAGATCCTTGGAACTTGGGAGAGACAACAAAGGTCAACACACCAAATCATGCATGTTTAAGGGAGTTTTTAAAAGAGTTTTAAATTTCTAGTGTTTCCGAACATTTATCTGAATTTCAGGCATGGGAATGAAGGAGAAGCTTGTGTTTTATGGTTGGATGTATAGGCTCTTCAGAGGTGGAGCTGAGGTCAAGTCCTAAAAATTGTGTATAATTGCATTCTGTGTTACTTATATTTACATACAGACACATACATAGGCACTGAGGGCACTGTAGTCCCAGGATGCAGATTCAGGTTCTGCTGTGGCAGGACATTCTGCCACACAGTTCTATACTTACTGTGCCAGGGAGGGTATCTTCAGTGCCACAGTTTTGTGTGATTAATTACAAGCTCCAAGGAAATATTAGAGAATGATAAGTGAAACTTTACATTGGATAATAACCAAGAAACGTGGAACTGAATAAAGTGGGGTGAAGGCCCAAGGGAATGCTTTTTCTATTTGAAGGGAAAAAAGTCTCATTTGTAATAAAGCTTTTTCTTCTTCTTTCTAGGTAACTGTGCACAACCCAGAAAATCAAAGCTATCTGATAGCGTACAAAGACTCACAACTCATAGTGTCCTCAGCTAAGTAAGTTGTAACAGACATTTTCAAAGAGCACTGCACACAATAGGGGAAGAAAAAATGTTACACCTGAGGATTCTAGGGGGAAAAACCCTACAATTTCCACTGTTGCTTTTCATTAAATAATAATACTAAAATGAATGTAGATGATGGTATGGGGAACTACCTGAGTACTATCAATATGTAGTGCTGCTGGTGGTGGTTCTGTAGAAGCTGCAAACTGGATTCAGCTCCTTATGTGTCCAGTTAATACAAACACAGAAGAGGGCAGCTGGGCAGCTACATCCATTTGTGTTTTAATAATGCTGAAGTGTTTACTGAAATGGAGCGTAACAGGACTGAGAGTGTAACTAAGAATTAAAGTAGTGAAATTCTGTTCTTAGCTGTTCTCCCTGGCAAAGATGCTCATACAAACCTCTAACCCATTTATCAGTGTGGGTGAGGCCTCAGTTGATGGGCAGATTGCATCCCTCTTGTACTGCTCCTCAGAACAGAACAAACGAAGATGAAAATGTAACTCTGCAGGCCTCCCTGGAAACATAATTTAATGGTTGAAGGTTAGAAACTTTGTATGTTTCTTTAAAATTAAAAACCAAACAGAACCAAAGACAGAATCCCATACTTTACTGTGTTATTTAGACCAGTATGTTGTTTGACAGTTTTGGTTTTGTTTATAATTGAAAGCTGTATTGTTGGTTTTACATCAAGTCGATGTCACACAGTAGGGTCACACCTGTAGTCCAGTGAGATTAAGATTATGAGATTAAGATTTTACTGCTAAGAAGTCACACGTCATTTATTAATTTCTTACAGAATGGAAATAGCTCTGAGGACAGAGCAGGAGAATATTTAGATAATACTCTCAGAATAATGTGCCTTGAGGTCGGAGGATATGAAAGGCTGGATTTCTAGGGAGAGGAGGTATCTTTTGTAAGATCCCATGGTGAAGCTGGAAAGAAAAGATTTTACTTTTTGCTCTTGAAGTCTCAAGCTGATAAAGCTCTGTGCCACAAACCTTCCTAAGTTTGTTTTTTTTTTTTTACATTTTCAGCTGAGCTAA